AAGCGGCCACCTTCATAGCCGCAAGCGATAGCCTCTCCCGCTTGCAAGCTACAGTCCAGATACCCGCCGCTGCAGACTATCACCAGATTTCAACTAAGTACTTCAAATGCAGCGGTACAGCCATTCCAATTCCAGCTAGCACAAGCGAGCCGAGCTACGCTGATGCCCTCCTGCTCTCCAGCAAGCGAGGAAGATTTGTGCCCTCAACGCAAGCGAAGCGGACACCCTGGGAGTTATGGCCAGCAACTGCTTTAACAGAATAACCACCAGCAACCGCCTAACTGCCCAGCGGTTGGAACTGCCTAACAACTTCTTGCAACCGTCTCTTTACACCTGCTATAAATAGGGCCAGATATCTTTATGTAGATAGATCAAATTCTTGGACAATTTCAGAATATATACAGCGTTCGTCGTCTTCCTGTTTCCGAGAGCTCCAACCCTGTAAGGGAGTTCTCCACAGGAAAGGCCAAGGGAGTGGGCGTCTTCCCTCTCCCTTGGCCACGCCTTTAATGCTTTCTTAGATTAGATTACTGCTTTCATTTACAGCTTTGTAGTCTAATTCTTTTCGCGTTTTCGTAGTATATAAAGAAATATCATTCACTTCTTCAAATTAAATTCTTTCACAATTTTCCATACTTATATAAATCAATTTCAGAGAATTTCATATCACTGGTATAGAGCGAGAGACGAGTTGATTAATTAAGCCTTGTGATGCGCCAAAAGCGGTCTCAAGGTAGTTCAACGTAGTTAAGTACGCGGGAGCCTTGTCGACCTACTTAACTACTGTGCTAAATTTGATTCTGATAAAATAGTACCAACATCAGGGGGTAAACCACTAATGAGGCAGAAATTGGGAAAATTAACGGGACATAGACGGGGGTCTATTAGGTCGCAGAAATTCCTAGTGACAGTAGGGTTTCTTTCTTATAATGTCTTAATTCTGGGTGTCATTGAAGTCTTGTTGTAAATCCCCCCCAGGCCAAAATACCAGTGTGATGAGTTCTTTATAATCGAGTTTATATAATTACAACATCTTTCTATCATCATTTTCATAATATACATATATGCTTCCGATAACACATTTACGTCATTCGCTCGCTGCATCCAGGGAAATCTACCCATTTCGTAACGCACAGTTCAGACACAACGCCTCTCATTCACTCTAATTCGCTCATATACATATACATATAATATGCCGCTCACTCACGCCCCGATCCTCTGGTAACCGCGATTCATCCATGCCCCGATCATTTGTTTACCATTGGAACTCTGCCTCTCGCTTTCGCTTCGCTCGTCTCCGTTCATTTTTACTGCTTTATTTACCGCTTTCAGTAGTAAAAGATTCAAGCCCGCTCCAAGCGGACCCTTTTCTTTTCTTCGTCGCTTCTCCAAGATTTTTACCATTGAAATTCATGACTTTAAATCCTTGTGTTCGACCTGGAAACTCACCAGTAAAAAGAGTATAAATAATTGTGATAACTATCCAGGGTCTACAACCACACAATTGCTATATCTGATCGTTCTTCTATAAAAACTCTACTCATTGATTTTCGAATAAAAATTCCCTGCGAATTGATATACAACCTACAATAACTATTTTTGTTATCATGTGTCCTCTTCACTGTCTATACAGACGGCTAATAAGAGTCGCATGGATATTATTTATTCAAGATCTTTATCTCTACCATTTATTTCCTTTCCTGATACTTACTGCATTCCTCAATTGACTTTAAATCTTGTATCAGTTGGCCAACTAGTTGAGTAGGGACTTATTGTTACTTTTTCTTCTTCTGGTGTGCAGGTTCAGGATCTACGTACGGGTCAAATTCTTAGGACAGGTCGAAAAGTGGGTCAACTATTTGAGGTACAATCTTTAAAAATTTCTCCCCGTAATTTCTCTGTTACTCATACCTCTCTTACTACACTTCCTTCCCCTATTCTCCAATGACACATTCGTCTTGGTCATGTGTCTTTATCTAAAATTCAGTCTTTCGTTAGGAAGAGTCATTTGGGTTCTACTCATTTGGAGTCATTTGATTGTTTACATTGTCATTTGAGAAAACAACCAGCCTTTTCCTTTTCAGAAAATATATCAGTCGCAAGTAAAACCGTTTGTCTTGGTTCATTATGATATTTGGGGTCCTTCCCCTATTCTCTCTATGAGTTGGTGCCATTATTATGTCATTTTCATATATGATTACTCTCGTTTTACGGATATATTTTTTCAAACACCGCTCTGAATTACCTCAAATCTACATTCAATTTGCTCAAATGGTTATAACTCAATTTTCCTGTTACATACAGACCCTTCGTACCGATAATGGTCTTGAGTACATAGATTCTACCTTATTAAGTTTTCTCTTTGCTCAAAGTATATTAATTCAGCGTTCTTGTCCATACACCTCTCAACAGAATGGTCGCGCTGAGCGCAGACATCGTCAGATTCTAGATAATGTCCGTGCGTCCCTTTTGCCTGCCCTTGTCCTGATAGGTTCTGGGGGAAGCTGCCCTCACTGCTGTCTATACCATAAATCGTATTCTATCAATCTGTCATCCATAATATCACCCCTTTCGAGCGTCTATATGGTTAGCCACCCGCTCATAGTACCCTTCGCCCCTTTCGGTTGTGTCGGTTTTGTTCGTATCCCTCCGCATGAACATTCCAAATTGGAACATCGTGCACGTTTATGTAGTATTCTTGGTTATGGGGTAGAGCATAAATGCTATAGGCTTTGGGATCCGATCTATAAACGGTTGCGTATATCTCGTCGTGTTATCCTTTGAGAGAGTGTCATGTTTTCCACCCTATCTAAATTTCATGTCTAATCTATTTCTGGTTTAGTTTCCTTCATGTCGGTGTGTCCTCCCTTGTTTTTTGATCCTGATCCTACGATTCCATCTCCGTTTTTGGATCCTGTTCCACCTTCAGTTGAGGCTTCTGATTCACCTCCAGTTGAAGCTTCTGATCCACCTCCGACCTGGTCTCCAGATGCTGGTCTGTCTGAGGTCTCTGGACCTGTCATACCTCGTCAATCACATCAAGTAAGTCACACTCCTGCTCATTTGCAAGATTATAATTGTTACTCTGCCATATTATCTCATCATGGGCCTAGGTCATTTTGTGAGGCAAGTGTTGATTCATTGTGCCAGCAACCTATGACTGAGGAATTGCAGGCCCTAAAAAAGACTCACACTTGAGATTTAGTAGATTTGCCTTGTAGCAAGACACCTATTGGGTGCAAGTGAGTTTTCAAAATAAAGACTAATTATGATGGTTCATTTGAGCACTACAAGGCTCTTCTGGTGGCTAATGGTTATTCTCAGGAATATGGAGTTGACTATGAGGAGACCTGTTGCTCGTCTCACTACTATTCGTTGTCTTCTTGCCGTTGTTGTTGTTTGTCGCTGGTTTCTTCTTCAGTTAGATGTCAAGAATGCATTATTACATGACATTCTTTCTGAAGAAGTTTATATGACTCCTCATCCAAGTTTCACGTATTAGAAAAGGTTTGTCACTTACGTGTGTTTTATATGGGTTGAAGCAGGCTCCTCGGACCTAGTATGCCACATTTAGCTCCGGCCTCTTGGAGTTTGGTTTTACCACATGCACCTACGATTCTGGATCATTCCTTCGTCGTTCTTCTTCAGGGATAGTTATCATTTTGCTTTATGTTGATGATATGGTCATCATGGGAGATGATGCGTCTTGTATTTCTGATCTACAGACATATTTTACTAAACAGTTTGAGATAAAGAACTCGAGTCCCCTTCGTTAATTTTTGGGACTTGAGGTCTCTAATTCTCCTGATGGCTTGTATCTGTCTCAGGCTAATTATGCCTCTGATCTTATTTCTCGAGCTGGTCTCACAGACTGTCATGTAGCCTTTACACCACTTGCCTATGACTTTCGACTTACACCTCATGATGACTCTCTTCTTGATGATCCTACCCTATATCGCCAACTTGTTGGGAGTTTGATTTATTTGACTATTACTATACTTGATATTGCTCATGCAGTGCATATTGTGAATCAGTTCATGACAGCTCCTAAGACTTTTCACTACTCTGTCATCTTGCATATTCTTCACGATGTGAAAGGTACTATCTTGCAATTTTTACATTTTTCATCTCACTCATCTTTGACACTGAGCAGTTACTTTGATACTGATTGGGATGACGACCCTACTGATCACTGCTCGACCACTAGTTTCTGCTTCTTCTTGGGTAATTATCTCATCTCTTGGCGCAACAAGTTTGGTGACCCTATTGATCGTTGTTCAACCACTGGTTTATGCTTCTTCTTGGGTGATTATCTCATCTCTTGGCGCAACAAGAAGTGTCGACCCTACTGATCGTCGTTCGACCACTGGTTGCTGCTTCTTCTTGGGTGATTACCTCGTCTCTTGGCGCAATAAGAAGCAGGCTTTTGTTTCTCGATCAAGTGCTGAGTCAGAGTATCGTGCTCTTGCTAACTCTACATCAGAACTTCTATGGCTTTGTCGACTACTCATTGACCTTGGTGCCCCTCAGCCATCTTTTACGGCTCTTCTGCGAGTGCACCAAACATATTGAATTTGACCATCACTTCATTCAACAACATGTTGTCAATTGGGGAATTCATCTCGTTTCGGCATCATCTGCAAATCAACATCAGATATCATATCTAGTGCCAATCTTGAGATTGAGAGGTGTTAAATTTAAATATCTTGTTATTAGATATAAATATCTTTTTTATATTATTTGATATTATCTATCTTAGTTTAGAATCGAACCCACTAGTATATATACTTTTGTATTTTCTTATTCTGAAAAAAATACAATTTTATTATTTTGGCCGAAATTTTATCAGCTAAATATTTGATTTGGTAATTTTTTAACAAAATAATAATAATATTCGATTAGGCTAGAATTTGCTCGGAAACTCGTAACGTTACACGATCCAGAAACTAACGTATAATTAGAAGTGCAATGAAAATGAATGCAATATTATAAAATCCACATTCACAACAAACTGTAGTCCAGTCCAGTGTCGATATTATTAAGCACTCCAGCGAGTAATGCAAAAGGTCGTTTCAAGACAACGTCGCGCCATTAAATTATTGACAGTATTTTCATCCTGCAAAACAAAACCTCAACAAGTATCTTCGAGGCTAAAGACAACACAAGGGTGGAGATCCACAAAATGTCGGTATAAAATAATACATGAATACAATAATTAACTTCAGATATGCTGCTGCAATAACAGATGGCTTTCAGAAATCCCTATCCGCCTAACCGATGTTTATTCAACAGCAAGACACATATTTCCTGCAAACAGGGAACCGAAGCAGCATACGATTAGGGAGAACCGTTCAAGCTAGATCACAGTTGAACAGAAGAACAAGATTTGGTAGCTTCTAATGGACACATAGACTGTTATGCTTTTATCAATCTTTATGGAATTGGCGAATCACACATCGCCTTAATCTTGCTGGCTGACTATATATGCAAATGATGGGACTGCATAAACACACAAAGGGCATATGAATTTTGCATTCAAGACTAAACCAACAAACAGATACTCCAAGGATAGTGCAAACAACGGATTTATCAGAATGTAAAGTCCAGATGCTGAATATATCATTAAGCAAGAAGATCATCAAGAGAAATTGAAATAATTTTAGAGTTTAATCATGCCTGTATAAAGGAATCAAGCAGCAGCAGCCCTTTGTAGCTCTCTCTCTGCCCGCTCCCGAATCCTCCTTTCAAGCTCAGGTCTGAAGTGTCGGATAAGCCCCTGAACTGGCCAAGCAGCTGCATCGCCCAATGCGCAAATAGTGTGTCCTTCGATCTGCTTGGTCACTTCCTGAAGCATGTCAATCTCCTCCAACAAGGCATTTCCCACCTTCATTCTCTCCATGATCATCCAGAGCCATCCGGTACCCTCTCTGCAAGGTGTGCACTGGCCGCAGCTCTCGTGCTTGTAGAAGTAAGAAAGTCTTGCAATAGCATCTACAACATCTGTTGATTTATCCATCACAATGACTGCAGCAGTTCCTAACCCTGATTGTACAGCCTTCAGGGCATCGAAGTCCATGAGCACATCTTCACATACGGGTTTGGGTATCAATGGCACTGATGAACCACCTGGGATAACTGCAAGCAAGTTATCCCATCCTCCACGTACTCCGCCACAATGTCTTTCAATAAGCTCTTTCAATGGAATGCTCATCTCTTCCTCGACAGTGCAAGGCTTGTTTACGTGACCAGATATGCAGAATAGCTTTGTTCCAGAATTGTTTTTCCTTCCAAAACTAGAAAACCATTCTGGTCCACGTCTCAGTATAGTAGGTGAGACTGCTACCGTTTCAACATTTGTAACGGTTGTAGGGCAACCATACAGACCTGCATTGGCCGGAAATGGAGGCTTCAACCTAGGTTTTCCTTGTTTACCCTCAAGGCTCTCCAAAAGAGCCGTCTCTTCACCACAAATATAAGCTCCGGCACCAAAGTGAATGTGCACATCAAAATCATACCCAGACCCACATGCATTCTTCCCCAAATATCCAGCTTCATAAGCCTCCTTTCTCGCCTTCTCTAGGTTCTTTCTTTCATTCACATACTCACCCCTAATGTATATATAGGCAGCTCTCGCCCTCATTCCAACTCCAGCAATTAAACAACCTTCAAGTAATTTGTGCGGATCATGACGCATAATTTCTCTATCCTTGCATGTCCCAGGTTCACTCTCATCAGCATTAACAACAAGGTACGAAGGGCGGCCATCAGAGCTCTTTGGCATAAAGGACCATTTCATTCCGGAAGGGAAACCAGCACCACCACGTCCTCGAAGACCAGATTTTTTAATCTCATTGACAATCCAGTCAGACCCCTTGACAACCAGGTCCTTAGTTCTGTACCAGTCTCCACGTTTCATGGCGCCCTTGAGAAAAGGATCATGCAGCCCATATAGATTGGTGAAAATGCGATCCTCATCTTTAAGCCCACCGAAATGAGTTTTTTCCGGTGGTGGTGGAGGTGGCGGGGGCTGGGCCTGGGCCTGGGCCTGTGGGGCGGCGGGGGGGTTCACAGCTTGGGTGCTGAATAACCTATTAGCCTGGCCCCAGCTCTCATTAGAACAACGAAGCAAGGAGGCTCTTTGTAAAGAAAGAATGCGCCTTAAAGGTGCCTGAAGAAAATGATCAAAATGATAGTTCAAAAGAGATGAGCTTCACATGTGGCATTAAAAGTTAACCCTTAATCTATTCTTCACAGAAGAATAATGAGAGATGTGATCTATACAAGGCATGACCGAGCAAAAAACACTGCTTAATAAAACTCCAAACATTATAATAAAAAAACACTAGCTAGAAAATCTAGTAACCAAAATATTCAAAATCGTAGGAATCAATCAAATCATCAGTCACAATAACCTTAATGAACCGAAGGACTGTTTTCCACTTATGAGGTTCTCTTTATAAAGAACTTGACAACATTAAGTAAACCATCCTCAACTGCTTCAGCCTCAGCGAAAAGAAGTAAAGGAAATGAAGGCATAAATGATATAAAAGCACAATTAGGTTTATGGTCATTCCAATTAACCCTAAGTTCTGAGCGTTTTCCTATCATTGTAATACACAATGGAGAACTACAAACTACAAAGCAAATATGTTAATAGTGCTCGAGCAATGAGGAAGCAAAGATAACAGACCAACCCTACAAGGTATATCATAACCAATTGAACCTACTAACAAATCAAATTCTGACATAGCTTCATCTAACCATCAGTTTGGTTTTAATGTTCAATGTAAAATAACCTCACTCTATACACAATCTTGCTTCCAAACTTCACATTCTTAACCATGCGTTTTGCCAACAGTTTCATTTACCAATATTAACTCAAAGCATCACAATTCAGATATCAAACAATCACTCAAAAGCACAAAAATGCATCAAGTCAGATTAAATTCGCAAACGTCAAATGAAAGCTAGGGTTTCAACTGACGAATCCATCTTTAACCCTTCCACTAGCCAACAAGAACTATGAAACTGCATCTATCATAAGGAAAATTTAAAATAAGAATCACACCGACTTCGATTGGATTCTTCAAACAGAATATGAACTCCCAAATTCAAATTCTACACCAAGATCGAAACCCCATCCATCGCTAATCCACTCAAAATGATTGACAACAAACAATCGCTTCTGAAACCTGACATACCATAGATCGCGTACAATGTCGTGCGAGCCCAGAAGCAGCGGTGCCGATCGGGAAATATGGAAGGTCTCGAAGCTGGGGACGCCTAAATTCAACCGAGTGCGGGCAGTAGTCCTCACATCGACGGATGTGATTAACGCCAAAGACAGCAGTACGAAGATCAACGGTGGAAAACTTGTGATTGGCAAAGTGGACACGTGGCGACATCGTGGAGCTATTATAGCTACAAGGACTAACGAGGACTTTTATATATTGGGCTTCTCTTAACATTGGGCCGGACTCTAAATGGGCCTATTTAATAATATTTATATTTATTTTTTTAAAATGATAAGTTAGATGCATTAATTGATGAACGGCTTGTTTGGAGTCTCGCGAAATTCCTACATCTTACCCAATGGGAATCTTTCTAAAAATATATTATTAGACGACATCGGACTTTCCAATTTTTTAAATCAGCCAAACAGAGCGCAAGTGTGAATTCGTCGCCGCAGACCTGACCATTGTAGCACTGTTTCAGTTCCTCCATATCTGCCACGGTTTTATCTTCTACATTTGGTCGCAGGGAGGTTCGGCAGAGATTTATCGATCAATATGAAGCTGTCGCCGAGGGAAATCGACAAATTGATGCTCCACAATGCTGGACAGTTAGCGCAGAAGCGTTTGGCGCGCGGATTGAGGCTTAACCACGCTGAAGCCGTTGCTCTTATAGCTACGCAGGTATGGACGCCTTGCTATTGGAAGAAGATGTTGATTTTTGTGTTGTTGATGATTGAGTGGTTTTGGTTATTGGCGTGATATGGTTATCGATTGTTGCATCATATTTTTTTTTTCAGTTATTGACTTGTCTGTATGTGCATATGTTAATGGTATATTGGCTGTTGCGGTATGTATTGAATCATTGAGTTGCATTCATAGAATTGTTGATTAAGATTGTTTTGGAGTGAGGCTTTTGTGTTGGTGAATATGTGCAAGTTTTTGTGTGACTGTTAATTCACAACACATCATCTCTTTCGATGTTTATGCCTGATTGAGTGAGGTTTTCAATAGGTATTGGAATTTGTTCGAGATGGAAATAAAAGCGTGGCTGAATTGATGGATCTTGGGCAGCAATTGTTGGGAGTGTAAGCACAGAGCAATTTTTATTTTTATTTTTAGTTTTTGAGTTTTGGTTAAACACACATTGCCAACGAACACTTTTTCAGCCTTGTACCTGTTATCATGTGTATAACAAATACATTGAGTTCTTTATTGTGCTTTCTGTGTGGGGGATACATGAGGACTAACTACTACTGTTTTGAATTTAGACTGATTATGACTTTTTTGAGTCGGTCAAAGAAATCACACGAATAATTAGTTATACTATTTTTTGCAGGAGACAAGTTCTTCCCTCTGTTCCATATCTCCTGGAATCAGTTCAGGTATTAACTATGACCTTTTAAGTGAATAATTTATTTATCTGTTAGGTTACAGCAGGTAAAATCATCCATTAAGAAGAATAACATTGGGTGCTAATCTAAACATAGATTGAAGGGACCTTTCCTGATGGGACAAAGCTGATAACAGTTCATGATCCTGTGTCACGTGAAAATGGAAATCTCGAGCTGGCTTTGCATGGCTCGTTTCTTCCAGGTGATTATATACTACTATTCCTGTATTTGATTCAGCTCGAACCCTGGTGCCTTGCTGTAAATCTTTAAAAAGCAGGATTATCTAAGTAAAACAGTTCTGCTGTATGTCCATCTATCTGATCGGTCTAACTGTGTTGTTACAATTGTATTTTGTAATAGTTCAAAAATAGCTCATTAATTGTTCACATCTCTTTACTTTCTTGACTGTGATTGGCAAAGTTTAATATGAGCTTTTTATACTAGTTGAGATATTGTTTAAACAACCATGGTGTGTTGTCATTTTGCAGCTCCCTGTTCTCTCCTGAGAACAAACTGTGTTGCATGAATTGCTCCCTAAGGATAGTGGTATTTCTTGCAGTTCCTTCTCTAGACAAGTTTCCTGCAGATGAGGATTTTACAATTCCTGGTGAACTAATCTTTGGACCTGGGTTAATTACAATTAACTCAGGCAGGAAAGGCATAGTTCTTAAAGTAACAAACACGGGGGACAGGCCTGTTCAGGTAATTCATTATTAATTGGGTCTTGTATGTTATTGACGAGCCTTCTAGTTAATCCTCCTTACAATTTTAGTTCACTTGATTACTTGAATGGTAAAACTTTTGTTCAACAATAAAAAGTAAAATTCAAAAATATATTTTGAACTTGAATAAGTGTCTGAGATCACGGCTCCCTAGATATACAGTACATAATATTGCTAAAGAAAAGAAAAAGAAAAACTGAAAAGGATAATGGGAAATAAAATGATGATCCCAAATGAAATTCTCTTGGAATTTTGTCTGAACCCGCTCTCTATCGCTGAGGTTGCTTATATACGTATCAAGTCAAACCGTCCACAACCACTTCCGCTTTCACGTCGGTAATTGTAAAAAAATTGCTTCCACCTTGATAATCGTAAAAAATCGCTTCCACGTCGATCACATTTGAACTGTCTCAAAAACTGCTTTCACGTTGGTTACCAATCTGAATCGTCCCAAAAATTGCTTTCACGTCAATTACCAATTTGAACTGTCCAAGAACCGCTTCCGCGTCGGTTACCGACACGAATCATCCGAAATTGCTTCCTCGTCTGTTATCGACCTGAACTGTCCGAAACCGCTTCCTCGTCTGTTACCGACCCGCACCATCCAAAATCACTTCCTCGTCGGTCACCGATCTGAACCGTCCAAAATCGCTGTTTTGTCGGTTATCGACCTGAACCGTCCGATCGGTTGGGTCCAAAAATTATCTCATCCGAATGGGTCTGCCCACCACTGGGCCCATTCATGGACTCCAACCCACATTTTATTTTTTGTACTCAACAACTTATCTCCTCCCTCTCTGACTCTCAAACTCGATTGGCGCAAGAAATGACGGTTGGGAGTCTGCAACAGCAACAACCATTGGAAGTCTTTAATTACCAACTCCATTTTCTTGCGCGTCAATTCGGTTGTCGGCAAGGTATTCCTGGCTCTCTTCCCGACCATACTATCGGCTTCTTTGAGCAATCACCAACCGACCTGCCAACAGTCGACCCTTCGGCCACAAAAGTTCCGTTGGTTTGGCCCCTGTTTTTGGATCTCCCCGCGGCTAACCCCTCCGAAGTCAGTTAGACAACGACCAACCTCCAGCCGCAGATTTTCCTGAAGCTGACCGCCCGACCAGTCGTGACCCGATGCTTTGTTATTAACCCGCACGTAAATTTTGTTTTCAGAAATAAAATTTTTGTTTTGACCCAACAAAGATGCCTCTATTCGTAGATCAAAACACCATGCGCAATTAATTACAATGGAACCAAATCTTCACTCCCAACCCTTCATCAATAAATAATTGTTTACCGAACCTTTTTGTTTCTTGGTTAGAATGAATTCTCCTTGCATCCATGTTCCATCCAGTAATTGGGAAGGTTATTTGCAACCATTCCTCGTAGGTCCACACCCTGTTGGCGGTCATGCTGATGACCTAATCCAAGTATTCAAACAATTGGATTTCAAATCTTCAAGGGGCAAGAGGACAATACGTCGTGTAATTCGTTTGATGGAATGCATCTCCATCGGGTATGAACCTCTGACTGACATCCTTAGTCGCTACCCTGATTTTGATCACCACATGGACCTGATAGAACATTATGTCACGGCCATTTTACCTTATCTGAGCTGGAACAATGTATTCTCCCAATAGAGATCATCACTCGCACGACTACGGGTTCTGGTGGATCGGGAACGCCAATTTTTACAAGACATAAAAACTCGTACTAAATGAGATGTGGAAGCAATGCAGGAACAATGGGAGGAATATCGACATGGCCTTGAAGACCTTCTTGATGAGGAATCAAAATTAATTTCCACCAACTGGGACGAGGATTCTGAATTGGAGGGGGAGGAACCTCCAAACCCTTCAAAGGATTTGAACCCTTGATGGATTCAAAATAATTTTACTGGATAACTATTCATTGTGACCTGATAATACGTACCACCTTTCCTTCTTGATCCATAATAATAAATGCTCTATTTCCAATTTTCTTGTAAGCTACGTAGGGCCCTTCCCAATCAGAGGGTCATTTATCCAACTAGTCCACCTTTTTGTAAATTGGTAAAATAGTTTCCAAACCAAATCACCTTCCTTAAAAGTCTTGTAAAGAGTTTTTTAATCATAATGTCTAGCCTGCACCTCGCCGTGTTTGACCATCCGATCAATCGCCTTCAACCAAATAACGCCCAGATCCTCCAACTTTTGCATCATACCTTGTTGACATTCTTCGTCAAAATCCACCGTGGTGTTAGCAGTACGCATCGATGGTACATGAAGCTCGGCTGGTAACACCGCATCTTGTCCAAACGTGAGCTGATATGGCGAAAACCCCGTGGCTGAACTTCTGCTATAACGATGTGCCCAGAGAGCCTGAGGCAACAGTGAATGCCATTTTCTTGGATTTTCGCCAATCATTTTCTTTATGATACCAATGACAATCTTATTTGCTGCTTCTGCTTGACCATTAGCTTGTGGAGAATAGAGAGATGAATGATGCAGCCGAATATTAAAACTAACCAGAAATTCGACGAATTTCTCCCCAGTAAAAGCCAAACCCTGATATGTGATAATAGTGTGTGGAACCTCAAATCGGTAAATAATTTGATTTTAGAAAAATTCAATTACCTCTTTTTGTGTTGCATTCTTCACAGGAACAACCTCGACCCACATAATCTGTCGCGACTAGAATGAAACAATGATGCTTCGAAGAAGCCGGATGGATCTTACCAATAAAATCCATCGCCCAGACTTTGAATGGCCATGGTTTGACCGAAGTCTGGAGGTCCATAGCCAATGGCCCATGCCTTTGACATTCTTGACATCCTTTGGCGAACTTAATACAATTCTCAAATATTTTCGGCCAAAAGAATCCCATACGATGTATGGCCCACCTCATATTCAAACCTACTCGATGTGAACCGCACACCCTACTATGTACTTTCCGCATAATCTCCAACGATTCTTCTGGTCCCACACACCTCAATAACAAGCCTTCGAAGGTCCGCTTGTATAGGATTCCTTCAAAGAGCCGAAATCGTAATGCCTTCAACCGAACGCCCACGGGTGCAACCGAACTAGACTCTTTTAAATATGCAATGATATCCGTTCTCCGGTCGGCCAGGACTTCCACGCCCGTGTCACAAACGAACGCACTTATCACCCGCCTACACGCACTTTAAGCCAAGTCTTCCGCATGACGGTTCTCCGTCCTCGGATATGTTCAAAACTGACTTCTGAAATTTTTGACAATAATCGAAACACCAAAGCTCTATATTGTCGTAAATGAGGCAAATTGCGAACATACCTTTTTGTTACCTGATTGATCACCATTGATCACCAATTGCGAATCCCCTTGAATCACAACTAATTGGACTTTTCTCGCAATCAAAGCCTCAAGTCCCAGAATCAAAGCTTCATATTCAGCCGAATTATGAGTCAGTGCTTCCAACTGCAATTGCAATTTAACTTTTTGGCCGTCGAGCTCTTTCAGAACTACATCTGCTCTCGATCCTTCCCCCGAACTTGATACATCAAACAACATATGCCAGGTCCAAGTACTCACATATAGTACGCGCCCCACATTTTCTTGCTGTTCCCCTGTGAATTTCGCTAAGAGATCAGCGACCACTTGCCCTTTGATAGCCTTGTATGTTAATGAAAATGGAGCTAACTTGATTGCACATTTCATTAATCTTCCCTGCATAGTTGGTCTCTGCAAAATCAACTTGATTAAATGTACCTTGGAAACGACCTCAACCTCCTTGAGGAGTAAATAATGCTCTGTTTTAGTATAGGCGAACACCAATGAGTAACACATTTTCTCGGGCATGGTATAATTCAACTCAGGCCCAACCAGAGTCTTACTCAAGTTATAAATCGCCCTCTTCTTTCTGTCTTCCCAATCTTGTGCCAACAAACAACTCACCACCTCATGAGTATTTGATAAATATAACTTGAGAGGTCGGTCACCCAGGACGGGTGGTTCAGCCAAAGTTGTCTTGATGGCTTCCAAGGGTTTTTGTTGTTCGATTCCCCAAACGATTTCAGGGGTCTTTGCCCGTAGTAATTTCGTAATGGGCTTCATTTTCCCTGCAACATTAGTAATAAATCTCCTTAAATAATTTACCTGCCTAGTAAACTTTGAACCTCCTTGACCGACCTGAAGGGCTATATTTCTAAAAGTGCCTTGGCCTTGTTTGCATCGATTTCAATGCGTCTTTCATGTACTAGGAAAACCAACAAGTTTCCCGCTGACACTCGGAAAGCGCATTTGTTCGGGTTCATCTTCAAGTTATATCTCTCAATTCTTTAAATCTTCCAAATGGCTTTCGAAATCGGCCAACTTAACGATCACGTTGTCAATATAGACTTCCATAGATTTACCAATGAGATCATGGAAAATAGCATTCATCGCCCATCCACTCATATATCCTCAATGCCTCTGGGCATCTAAAGGCTGTTTTGGGGATGTCCTCCTCTACCAGAAAAAATTGATTATAACCAGGATATCCGTCCATCAGAGTAAGAATCCGATGTCCCGCGGCTAAGTCGATCAACATGTCAGCTACAGGCATGGCGTACTTATCCTTAGGAGTCGCCAAATTGAGATCACAAAAATCGATGCAGATCCAAATCTTTCTATTTTTCTTAGTCATTGGCACAATATTTGCCAGCCACTCAGCATATCGACACGGCCGAATAAATCCCACCTTCAAAAGCTTCTCAATCTATTCTTTGATTTGAGGCATTAATTTGGAACTGATCTGTCGAGGCGGCTACTTACACGGCGTGAACCCTGTTTGATGGGTAATCTATGCTCCACAAAACTTCTCTCCAAACCGGGCATTCCCGAATAATCCCATACCAAACAATTTATATTACTTAGAATCAAATCGACCATCCGACCCTGTTGTTGTTTTGACAACAAATCACTAACTCTGACCATCCTCGGAACCAGGTCGGTTCTATATTATACTCGATCAGAGGATCCTGACCTGTAAATAATGGTTCTTTCTTCTCGAACAAATCTGGCCAACGAAACTGGTTAACATCTGCTGTTACAACACTTGCGTTGTGCAACCTTTTCTTAAGTTGCCTTAAGTAATACTGATTAATTATCATACTATATTCGCTTAGACTGGTACTTTCGATAATAAACCTAGTTAAATAAGAAACGCTTTGGCTATCAAAGAGCCATAACACTTGAAGCGAGAATTGTTCTATTAAAAGAACATATGCCCTTGATTGGTGAGCCTATAGCTGCGCATAGGTATTCGTTAACAAGAGCTGTTTGAGAGATCGGTGGAATATGTCCGGAGTAATGCACGTATTCTTCCACAGTCTCTGAAACACCAAAGGGGTTGTCGCTAGCTTCCATTTTAAAAACTTGATTATCCTCCAAGAACATCAGTTGTTGATGCAAAGATGACGGCACACATCGGGACGCATGAATCCAATCCCTTCCAAGCAGCACTAAATATGTGGTATTTGCATCTATCACAAAGAAGACGGTTGATATTATTTTAGACCCAACCTCTTTTGGGGCTACCATCATACCTTTCGACTCAGCTGACGCGTGAAACTTGTCATTTTAATGTCCACTAGTGATGAATCAAAAATCTCCTTGCCTAGTCTTTTAAGTGTTTTTAAAGGCATAACATTAAAGATTGCACCATTATCAATGAAGACCTTACTGGCCGGCTTACCACAAATATGAGTGTCGACATAAAGAGGCTTCAGATGAGGTACCATTCCTTTAGGGAGAGGAGAGAAAACCATTGGTGGGGGACCATGGGTCCATGATCCTCACCCATTCGGATTTCTCAAAACAATTATTGGCTAAACTAGCTTAGATCGGCTCCTTCCAAATGGGTTTTTTCCAGGTCGGCTCTTCCCAGGTCGGCTCTTCCCAGGTCGGCTCTGCTTGTTGCCAGCGCAGTCCTGACATCCTGACTTCAAAAGGGGACTGTCCGATGGTTTTACCCGTCCGTTCTTCTGTAAGTGCCTGAACCTCAATTGGTGAGAAAGACACGAACCGAATTCCTTGACCATTTTTTTTTTATCTCTCCTATGACTGGATCAATATAAATCTTGTTACAATATTGACATCTGTGACACTTGGCTTTCTTAACAACTCCTTATTATTCATTGTTTGAACAGTCCAGTGATCTGTAGTAGTATCCAGAGATACTCGAAGACCAGGTTGATGCCGGATCTCAGGTTTGGGGCCCGAGGGATCCCTACGGCTATCAATACGGTGGTTGTGCCGAGCAGCATATCTACGTTTAGCATTACGGATCTGAGTACGATTCATACCTGAAAACCAATGATCGATGTCGACCGGTAATGGTTTCCTGTTTTGACTCCATTTATCTTTGACCGAACAGGGCTTCTTCGTTGGCGGTCCTATTTTTCTGCTACCCGATCATCACATATTTTGAAATCTTTCTTCTGTTTTTCCTCCGGATCTTCCTTCCTTGGTAACTCTTTATTCGGAGCAACTCCGATTGCAGCCATTGTTACCTTGGGAAACGACTGTTGTTCTACCCCCAGAGTGACATATTTAAAGCGTCCAGCTTTGATAGCCCTTTGAATCTCTTTCCTGAAATGTGTACACTGACTTGTAATGTTGGTGAAGGAATTATACCACTTGCAGTAAGGTCTCCCCTTAATTTTCTCTTTTGTCGCCAATCACTGTCCTTTAGGAATTTGAATTTGTCCATCCGTCAGGAGGATATCGAAGATCTCGTCCGCTTTAGAACTGTCAAAAGTCGGTTGATCTTTCCTTTCTGTTCCTGGAAGAGCCATTTCTTCTGCTTCGACCACTGGATCGCTATCTGGTATGTATGCTTCTGCTTCCATGCTATCCATAAGTTGAACCTTGTGGCGCCAAAAATTTTGATTTTTTTCCCTGAATAATGACTCCAAACGCCCAGCTTTAGATCTTTGACATCATGGGCGGTTAGTGCCTCCCGTAACCGTCCATGCATGTTTCGGACCACAAGATTGGTCATTTCTTTTTCCTCTATCACAGTCGGACATCTGCTCTGCATCAACCAAATCCTTTTTATAAACTGCGCAGCATATTCTTCTAGCATCTGTCTCATTTTCAATAAATCAGCTAGAGACACCACGGAACAGGATTGAAGAACCTAGCGTGAAAAGTTGTATCAAACCAAGAAAAAACTGTCTTGGTCAGAGACAGACCGAACAACTATAATTTATAAAATAGATTGTTATCGATTTTACCCTACTGGAAAGAGGATGTTTATTGATGATCCTTTCAGAGAACAGTCGTTGGTATGCGGGCCGATTGATAACCTGTTGAGTCATACCGAAATGGACCCTCAGAACGTGTGATGTCATTTGGGTTCAATTTGATCGGATGATGATCTGGAACTGGAATAGGATCAAGAGGATGATCTTCAGGTCGGTCATCAGTCTGTCCAAGTTGGTCATCCCTCTATTGAAACGGCTCAGGCCGAGTCCCCAGAGGGATAGTGTTTGGAAAAGTGAGGGGAGTTCTCCCTCTTTTGCCCTACTAGAGGCTGTAGCACTTGGAATGGTGTTATCCACGAACGACAGCCCTGCGAAGTTTTCCAGAAGGCACGACGGAGACATTCCTGGAGGTGAAGGCGCTTAGTGAAGTGTGATTCTCGATAGGGTTTGATCTAGCATATTCTGTATCAAGTTTTGTTGCTCGTGTAACATTATCTGTATGGTTGTTGTTTGCTGATTGTTCATTTGTTGAACATGATTTAACCATTCGGATGGTATTTAGGAGATGACCTCTGTAGTGGAGATTGATGGTGGCGTTGCCGTAGTAGCCCCGATGGCTGTGCTGAGTCATTGAGATTGAGAACCTGTCATGAGATTATTTGCAACGACTCAACCGAATTGAAGTTGTATGAAATTTTCGTTAAACGTAGGATCATTAATTTTGCTTTCCCCACTGTGATTGCCAATTTGTTGATGGTAAAATTTCAACAATAAAAAGTAAAATTCGAGATTAAATTTCGAACTTGAACAGGTGTCTGAGATCACGGATCTCTAGAGAAGCAGTACATAATATTGCTAAAGAAAAAAAAAAAGGAAAGTTGAAAAGGATAACTGAAAATAACATGACGATCCCAACGAGATTCTCTTGGAATTTTGTTCGATTGAAGATGCTCGCTTTCTATTGTTGAGGATGTTTATATACGTATCAAACCAAACCGTTTAAAACCATTTCCGTGGCGGTTGTCCTAGAACCGTCCATAAAACCGCTTCCACGTCGGTTCCTTTTGAACCGTAAAGAACTTGTTTCAATGTCGGTCACTTTTGAACTGTCCCAAAAACTGCTTTCACGTCGGTTGTCAATCTGAACCGTCCAAGAATTGCTTCCGCGTTGGTTACCTATCGGAACCGTCCGAAACTGCTTCTTCGTCGGTTACCGATTCGAATTATCCGAAATCGCTTCCTCGTCTGTTACCGATCTGCACCGTCCGAAACTACTTTCTCGTCGGTCACCAATCTGAATCGTCCGAAACCACTTCCTCTTCGGTTATCCACGTGAACCGTCCGATCGGTTAGATCAAAAAATCATCCCATCCAAATGGTCTAACCCACCACTGGCCCATTCATTCTTCCTTCTTGAACCCCAACTCGCATCTTATTTTTTTTGTGCTAACACCTTTAGTTGACCAGAATCATGCTTTCTTTCTCCTTGATAGTTATCTATAGAGAACAAACCTGAATTTATTACTGTTTAGTTATCCAGAGCTTGCATTATGACCATTTGGCAATGTCTGTCCACATGATCCGGTCTTACTTTTGAACACCAATCTGCATAATTTAATAGGTTCATGTGCAACACCAAGTAATGAGATGTAGATACATTTCTTTTTTCTTCTCGTAAGTTTGTATGTATCCATATATTTTCCGTCAATGCTGCTTTAATTTTTTTTGTTTTTCCCAGGTTGGAAGTCATTACCACTTCATTGAGGTCAACCCACACTTTGTATTTGATCGATATAAAGCCTATGGCATGAGGTTGAATATCCCTGCGGGAAGAGCTACTCGCTTTGAGGTTTCAGTTCATTGTCTTGGAAACTGACTTTCTGTGTTCAATCTTTTCGTACAAATGCGAAGCTTGAGAAGTAGAAAATACTCGCATGTGCATCATTTCACACTTGCATATTACATTGTGTATAGCACAAACTTAGGGATGCTTTAACTATAAACCTGGCTTATTTTTAGCTTTAGTGAAAATTTTCAGTGATTGGCTTCACTGTATAAGACCTGACATTTTCTTTAACATAATATGGAAGATTTAAGTGAGAAATTGGATCTGTAGTATTATAATCAAAACCTAAATGGTGCTTTTTTAAGAACATGTGAAGCAAGACAAGAGGAGTTATGAACTTATAAATCATGAAACATTGAGTAGAACAATGCTATCTAGGCAGACTAAAGTATCTAGATATGCAAATCTGTAGCTTGGGCCAAAAAATAATCTCTTATGGAGTTCAATTCTTCCAATATCCACAAATCTGTACTAAAATAATCTTAATTCTGCAGCCAGGGGAGACAAAAACTGTATCACTAGTCAGAATTGGTGGTAAACAAATAATTAGGGGTGGAAATAATATTGCCGATGGTCCAGTGGATGATACCCAAAGCAAAGCAGCAATGAAAGTTGTACATGATGGAAATTATGGCTTTTTAGAGGAAGCAGATGCTAGGTCTGACATCCTACATATTTTATGAATTTTGTAATCTTTTCTATTGTTACGTTATTAATATATATGTTTAATTTCTTTTTACTTGCATTATCCATTTAGCTTATTTAGCATGCTTGATTTCATTTAAATTGGTCGTGCAGGGAATTTCTCATTGAAGAAGGATCTCCTTTCTCCTATTCAATGTCTCATGAAAAGTATGGCAATATGTATGGCCCTACAACTGGTGATAAAATTCGGCTGGGTGACACTGATTTAATTGCCGAAATTGAAAGGGATTATGCAGTTTATGGTGATGAGTGTGTTTTTGGTGGTGGAAAAGTCCTGAGAGATGGAATGGGACAGGCTAGTGGATATGCATCTCGTGATTGTTTGGATACTGTAATAACCAATGCTGTGATCATTGATTATACAGGGATATATAAAGCTGATATAGGAATCAAAGATGGCTATATTATTGCTATTGGGAAAGCAGGTAATCCAGATGCCATGGATGGGGTTTCAGATAACATGATCATAGGGGTGAGTCAGGGAACTTGAATTAATAATTTTGGCTATGTTTATAGTGTATATATCTGGTTTGATACCCAAATTTGTTCATTTTTTACCCAGGTAAATACCGAGGTTATTGCTGGAGAAGGAATGATCATTACCGCAGGAGCTATAGACTGTCATGTGCATTTTATATGCCCCCAATTAGCTTATGAAGCAATTACAAGTGGTAAGTTTCTCACAGTAATCATTTTTAGAAATTTTATTTCTTGTTATTGTGTGGATAAAAATTTGGTGATAGGAGTTTTCACATCTACTTTAATTTGATTCATCTGCTTCGTATATAGCTCATTAGAAATTTATTCATGCAATTATACTATAGAAGTGCTGTATTAGAGGTATATAGCTCATTAAATATTATGCGTTATGTATTTTGTTCTGTGAAGTGTAATCAGGAGATATTCTGAAGCTTCCTCCTTTTTAACCCTTCAATTGAATAATGCTTTTAGGTATAACTACATTGGTGGGAGGCGGTACAGGGCCTGCTGATGGGACGCGGGCAACTACTTGTACTCCCGCACCATTTCACATGCAATTAATGTTGCAATCAACAGATGACTTGCCCCTGAATTTTGGTTTTACAGGAAAAGTAGGCCTTGTACTTCGTTACTTGGTTTTATGTTTCCCACCCGGGATTTCTCTTCATCCATAGAAAGGATATTTTCTTTCTCGGAGGTTTTTCACATGTCCATTCACACATCGATAGTTCTAGTGAAGAATTTTCCTGATTCGTATTGTATTATGCTATCTAAAAACTTGTTACTGCAAGTGGTGCTTAATGATCAAAATGCTTTTGCAGGGGAATTCTTCTAAAGAAGAGGGCTTACACGATATAGTTAAAGCTGGGGCAATGGGATTGAAGCTTCATGAAGATTGGGGAACTACTCCAGCTGCAATAGATACATGTCTGTCTGTAGCAGAATTATACGACATTCAGGTAGTGTTTCTCCACTAACTATATCAATGCTCTTTATTCGTGCCTGTGTATTAAAATGGAAACTACTAGGTAAACATTCACACCGATACATTAAATGAATCTGGATTTGTTGAGCACACAATTGCTGCTTTTAAAGATCGATCCATTCATACATACCACAGGTAAATCCTATCTTCTGGTCTGGACTGATTTGTTTCTCTAGGCGCGTGAGTGTGGTAGTGTGCTCTTATCCTTTTATGCAGTGAAGGTGCAGGTGGCGGTCATGCTCCCGATATCATAAAAGTCTGTGGCGTGAAAAATGTCCTCCCCTCGTCAACTAACCCAACGCGTCCTTTTACCTTCAATACCGTAGATGAGCATCTTGACATGCTTGTAAGAAACAGTATATGTAACTATAGTGTAGTAATTCATGAAAAATGAATTGCTGAAAAAACTTATTTACATTCTGCAGATGGTCTGTCATCACCTTGACAAGAATATCAGGGAGGATGTTGCTTTTGCCGAGTCTCGTATTCGTGCTGAAACCATAGCTGCTGAAGACATTTTGCATGATATAGGGGCTATAAGTATCATATCCTCTGATTCACAGGCTATGGGCCGCATTGGAGAGGTTATTCTTAGTCCAATGTTCTTCTGATCAATCAAATTGACAATGCACACCTTCCATTGTCATTTATGTGCTTCATTAATAACTTCGTTTTGTTGTTTTTCACTAACTCACATACAAATCTGTGTGCCTTATTCTTGATAGGTAATTTCCAGAACTTGGCAAACTGCCCACAAGATGAAGTTATTTAGAGGACCCCTCGAAAGCAGTCTGCAGGGAAATGATAACTTCAGAATCAAGAGATACGTTGCAAAGTACACTATTAATCCTGCCATAGCTTGTGGATTTTCTAAATTCGTTGGATCAGTTGAGGTACAGCTTTTTGAATATGAGATATCCATGTTGATGTCGTGTTGCATACATTACTATGTAGTTTTTATGGTTTTCTATAAAAATACATTATTTTCTCTTACAAAATATTATATCCAATTACTATAAAATAAAAAAATAAAAAAACACCCCTGTATGTGCTGTTATTTTCTGGAGAAATTTTCTTAAGATGATGATGATGCAGTTGACTCGTCTGAAATTCGATCATATGACTTGGTTCCAGGTGGGTAAGCTGGCGGATCTTGTTCTATGGAAGCCGTCGTTCTTTGGAGCCAAACCGGAGATGGTGATAAAAGGTGGAACAATAGCATGGTCCGATATGGGCGATCCAAATGCAAGCATCCCAACACCGGAACCGGTAATTCTGCTTACAACACCATTCATGTCCCTACAATTTACATCAACTCTATCTAATTGCAGTATAATCCAATCCCTAAAACTGAACTTTCAACCACAAATCGGGACCAAGAGATTTAATACTTAGTCGAAAAATCAAACTAGTCTTGAACCAGTTTCAAAAAATAAAATCAATCCATTTTAGTACAATGTCGGATTGCTGAATCTGTCTCATGGCACAGGTGACAATGAGACCGATGTTTGGAGGATTTGGCAAAGCCGGGAGTGCTAATTCGATTGCATTTGTCAGCAAGGTATGGATTGATCTCCTCTCACCCTCAATCCATCTCATGGACACACTGCTACCACCACAATTTCACGTGCTCAATATCTTTGAGTTTGCACTTCGACTCCATACTCGGTGTTATTGCAGGTGGCTCTGGATTTGGGAATAAAAGAGCAATACAGACTGAACAAGAGGGTGGAAGCTGTAGGAAATGTTCGGAAGCTGAGTAAGCTGGACATGGAGTTCAACGACACACTTCCGGCGATGAAAGTCGATCCGGAGACGTACGTTGTCGAAGCAGGTGGGGAGATTCTTACATGCCCTGCTGCTAAATCAGTCCCTCTTTCCAGGAATTACTTCCTTTTCTGAGTCACATTTGTTTGTTGTTGATTGGCAATACAATAATACAAAGCAATGCAATGCAATGCAATGCCATCATATATATATTTTGAATTTGGCTGTGTCGAGAATAATAAGAACACTATTGTTGGAGGGGGATGATGAACCCTTCTATGCTATCAAAATTTGAAAATGAAAACATGTGGTCTAAGGGTGTTTGCTTGTTCTTTTGGTGTGTTATTTGGGAGTTTGGATTTGTTAGTTATTTATTTTGTTTGAAGAGTAGATTGAAGGTAGTGTTTTGTGGAAAAAAATACTTTATAAAATGAAATGTTGAATTTTTAAATTAAATTAAAAATTGAACAAAAATTTGGCTTTGACGCCACTGCTGGATACAATATTTAAATTGACATAAAGTTTGTTTTTTTTTTCACATAATATTTTAAATAATTAAAAAGAGTTTTAAATGTAATGTATTTTAAGACTAATTTTTTGTGAACAATGCTAAGAGAAATATGTTAACATAATAAATAAATTGAGTGAATTGTTTGATATAACAATTTGAATAATACATACTAATATAGAATATTTTTTCTTTAAAAAAACTATTATGTTATAACTTATATAATACAAAAATAAAATTACAAACGCAAGCATATACTTGAATTTGGTGCATTTTCGAAAAATAATAATCATGCAATCGATATTGATACATGATGTTAAATCATGAGCCCATCGCCAACTTGGAAAATAGATCAAGACCGGTTGAGCATCGTGGTCTCGTGGAGTGCCATACAAGCTTGGTTTATTATTAATAAAGTAGTGAATAAGATCAAACATGTAAGATGAACAAGAAGGACTTTTATTAAAAGGTAGTCTTGTTTGTTTTGCTTTGTGACAGATCTCACAAGGAGTACAAATGAAGTGTGTCCAAGTCGTTGATGCCACAAGAAAGGTTCATAGTGATAGGAATGGAGGAGTTAGAAAGTACGTAGGTTTTTGGTTTGTTTTCCAGCAGTAGCCAAGACTATCTCAGATTTCTGGTCCTTAATCATGCAACCATTAAAAGTGAAAAAATAAGCTTTAGAGGGGAATGTTTAAGAAACAGACTAACATATATTAAATTATGCAGGAAGGTAGTAGACAAATGGTAATGTGATCTCGGGTGGTTGTGAGGCGGGTTCCATTTGGAAGTATAATTTGGGCCATTGTTTTTAGAGGAGATAAGGAAGTGCATAACCGTTTATCAGAACAAATATGACATGTTGCACCACTGTCAATTAGCCAAGAATTATGCTCTAAATGGACAGAACCAATATGAAATAGATTACCTCAGAAGAGTCAAGAATATGCTGCATTAGGAGCTTTTGCACTTCTGTCTTTACAAGAGCACTTAAATTTGGATTTCCTGAGTTGTTCTTCTTCTCAGACTCATTGGTCATCACAGTAGCACAAATACAACTATTTTTCTTATTTTGCAGGTCTTTGTACCATTCAGGAACTCCAGCATGTATCTCTGGAGTGACCTTTCTTCTTGCAGTAATCACATACCGTATTCCTTTTGCATACTAATTGATGTTTTCTTTTGTCGAATCCCTCTTTGTTCACTCCACTTGTTGTGTTCTATAAAGATATGTATTCCCTTCTGTTTTTCAACTTACACACAGGATGAGAACATAGACTTTGTTCATGGTGGGCAGAGGTTCAATCAACAGAATTTGACCTCTTAACATATTTATATTGGTCATTCAAACCAGTAAGATATTGAATCAATAAATCTCGTTCTATTCTTGCCTGGAGTTTATGATATATACCACATGAACACTCAATTGGTGGCTCAATGTTGAGCAGCTCTGCCCACATTTCTTGAAGCTTTGTTGCGTAGGCAGTGATTGTGTCACTTCCTTGCTTTAAGGAAGTGACGGAACGCTTGAGTTGGTATATTAGGATCCATTAGATTGACCGAAATTTTCTCTTAAGCTATCCCATAAATCCTTGGCAGCAGGAAGAAATATGAAGGCATCTTGCAGATGTACAGAGATGGAGTTGATGATCCAAGTTCTTATTAATGCACCTATCTCTATCTATGAATCCAATTCTGATGCATTTTCAGCATGTCTGGATGTTTTGCCTGTGAGGAAGCCATGTTTTCCTTTGGCGAGCAATGAGTTCCACACAGATGACTCCATGTGAAGTAATTTGTACCATTGAGCGGTACTGAACATAAGGTGAGATGTGGATCTTTGGCAAGGCAAAGAGGTTGAGGAATAATAGCCCTAGTTGCACGAACAAGCGCAGCTTCAGTATCCATGATGATTTTTCTTCAATCATAGGATGTTTAATCCAGTCTGATACCATAAAATTAAACAGAGAACAAATAAAAGCAGAGAGTACAAGCAATATTTATTATTATTATTATTAGTTTTTGGCTTTCAAACTCATCATTGTTTGTTGTTATATCGATTTTGAGTGAGGATAATTTTTTAATCTGATTTTTAGGTAAATCGGAGAATCCATTGCAATGCGATGTATTTTATTTGGTCGCTGGTTTCCTTGCCCGAATGGTTGGGTGTCGTCGGCTTGAGTTGATGCCGAAACCCTCCTTAATGGTTACTCACACGAGACACTGAGCTTTGGAAAAGAAATCGATTGCTTTTGCTGCAGTGGTTGTTCGACAACCAAGAAGGCTTCAGGAGGGCCAACTGCTATCGTTGTAGGGATAGAGATTCCGACAATCAATTTCGGTCCACCTCTCTCGCCATCGCATTACCGTCGGTAACTGGGGCGGGGCTTGCTTTCTGTTCTTTGGTAATTGCCAGCACTAATTTAGCTTATGCATTTATGGTTTGGTAATTTATTATTGTTCAAATTGCTGGATGTGCTAAATCTCGTATTCAATTGAGATTTTAATGAATTTTTATTTTTTTATTTTAGAGAGTTTACAAAATTTATATTTTAATAATTGATTTACATGGATTTATATTGATTTTGTAGAATTATAAAATAATTTTTTTTTGAATACATATTAATTATATAAATTTATATCAAACAACAAATTTTATAAATATAATAAATAATTATTAATAAGATAATATTTAATATTAATAAATAATATATACGTACTTAGTTTTTATATAAAAAGGATATATTAAAATAAATAAATAAATAATTTACGATTTTTGAAAAAAAATATTAAAATAAAAAAATAAATATAAATTAACGGTTCAACAAAAAAATATATATTTAAATATCTATTTCACCATTATCGTATATTAGATAATTGAAAAGAAAAGACGACGGTAATACATTATAATACATTATTGTGATAATAATATTTTTTAAAATTATACTCCCTCCATCCCAATACAATAGTCTTGTTTACCATTTTTGTCCGTCCTAAAATAATAGTCTCATTTTCATAAATAACCATATCACTATAAAACTACTCTTACTTTTTCATTGTTATTACATAATTGCCACTACTGTTTACAGTAATATACTCACAAAGGTAAAAAAGTCTTTTACCCATATTTTTTATCCACTACCAATATAATATCAATATTCCTTAAATCCCGTGGTAAACATACTCAGACTATAGTTTTGGGACGGATATAATATAAAAATATACTCCCTCCGTCCAGCTATAAAGTATACACATTTCTATTTTGGGATGTGCAATTAGAAAGTAAACATTTAATTAAATACCTCACTTTTTTCTACAAATACCCTTACTTTACATCACATCATTACTTTTATACCAAAAAGCAAGGGCAAAAATATCATTATACTACTTTTAACTACTCACTATAATTAAAATACTATTATTTCTTAAACACCGCACCAAAAGTAAATGATTACTTTATCCGTGGACGGAAGGAGTATATTTTTAAAAAAAAATCATAATAATTTGCTAATATATTTTAGTTTTAAATTATTATTTTTAATAACAACTATAATAATAGTGATAAATATAATCATATTATTGATCACATATACAACAACAACAACAACAGCAACAACAACAACAACAACAACAATAATAATAATAATAATAATAATAATAATAATCCATCAAAATTTGTGATGCAGATTCTTTCTTGTACAAAATTTTCAACAAAAATCCATTAAAATCCATAGACTTTCAAAGTCTATAGATTGTTGAATATCTTAAGATTTTAAAAGACTTTTAAAAGTCTTGATTGAATGCCTCTAGATTTTAAAAGACTTTTAAAAGTCTTGATTGAATACACCCATAGACTTTCAAAGTCTATAGATTGTTGAATATCTTAAGATTTTAAAAGACTTTTAAAAGTCTTGATTGAATGCCTCTAGATTTTAAAAGACTTTTAAAAGTCTTGATTGAATACATCCAAATTTTGAAAGTCCAACAAAATCCTACAAAATCTATATTGAATACACCCCCTTAGTACTGATTCAAAGACATTTCGTGTGTTGGTGTCAAATAATTTGGGAAAATAAAATATCTATTGCTTCTTTGAAAATTTTGAGTACATCATTTATGCGGAATATTGTTGGATTGCCTGCCGATTTAGTTAAAAGTTAGTGTCCGAACATTGTTGGATTGCGCGTTGATTTTGTTACTGGATGAACATTGTCGCGTGCTTACACAGATTTGAGGCTACTGCACTTTACTTTACGAATTTAGAATTGTGTGATTCATAGGGCATTTGTTGATACAATTATTATGTGGTTCTGTTTTGAAATTCTTGGGAGATTTTTATTTATTTGAGTCTATCTTTTATCTTAATCTAATTGTCTTACATGTATTCCCCAAGCATGTTATGGAGTTTTTCCAATTGTGAATAATTTGAGACAGGGTCAAGTTTTATAACATACATTGCATTTTGAATTTTGGTTATCAAACAAAGATTGTTCTTGAGATGGGAGATAATTAAGTAGCAATAGCACTTTGTATCTTAGTTTGGGTAATATGGTAAGTGTAGGTTTGATTGTATCATAAAGCATTGACTAAAGTTCTTGCAGCACTTTGTATCTTTGGATAATATGGTAAGTGTAGCTTTCTCTCCGCTTCCACCAAATTGGTTAATATCGACCGACTATCATTTTCTCTTACTCTCCCTCGCCCGCTTTGCCCAATTCGGTTAATATCAACCGAAAATCTCTCTTTCCCTCTCTCTTTTACTTTGTCCTTCTCTTTTTCTTTTTCGTTGTGACTGA